TGCCACAAAAGAAAACTAGATTTTTTTTCGCGACGTCAACTTACTATTTTGAGGTGTTTATTTTTTTTTCACGCAGAATAACGGGACGTAACAAATAAAATTATTTAACAAAAGCGTTCCGAAATTAGCAGCGACCGACCTATCGTTTCCAGAGTGGCATCCTCTCTTCAAAGAGATCCTGTTGAATTAAAGCCACCGAGAGACCATTGTAATCAGTCTTGACGCTCGAGCAGAAATAATTACGGTCCTCGTGAAATCCGGCGATTCAAATTTGCAAATCCCGGCCTCGTTGCTAGTGAAATTTGTCGGATTAACTTTACAAATTTATCCTCGCGTCTTTCCCTCCGCCTCTTATTCAGTTTCGTGAAAATCTCTAGCGACAAAGTCGATTATAACCCATACTCCTAAGCTTCCGTTAAAAGGCTTGGAACGAACCTTCACGTCTAAGGAGATTGTCTTATATAAATGATACTTTAGATACGTTTGCTAATAAATTTCATGTTTTAATTAATTAGTAATCAGACTGATCAGACTGATGTTTGATCAACGCGATATATCGTGGATATTTTGCAGACATGGAACATTTCGGTTCACCCTATACGCGCGTTAGAACATGCGTTTGCCGCTATCGATAGTCAATCCGTTTAGGGAACGCCGCATTTAAATAACACATTTTCCGTCCGGCACGTTGATAAATATTTAACTTACTCTAGCACGTTGCAAAATCGATCGGAAGTTTACAGGATGGGACCGACGATAGTGCGTTGTGACAGGAACAGAGAAACGGAATTGCTTTTGACGGATTAACTTTTTAAACCGGTCACAGGAGAGAGGAAGAGAGAGAGAAAGGGGTATTCTGATTGGTTGTTTGTTGAATAAACTCGTCGCGAATACGGGTTTCATTCGAGCGCGGTTCGATCTCCGGTACACTTTCGACAGATCCTGTCCTGCATTGTAGAGATTATTGTATTGTACGCAGTGCGGCGTCGTAATATACGTGAGAAAGATCAGGAACGATAAAACGAGAGAAAAAAATTTTCTAAAAAATCAATTCCAAATCTACCTCACAATATATTATTAATATAGTTTATTATCATTAACTTAGAGCTTGAAAGACTTTCAGAATAACTTTTTCTTACATATGTATAAATTATTCTAAAATTATTCTAAAATTCACAAGATTCTCAAATTAATGAATAAATTACATATATTATTTTTATTTTATTTTATATATTATTTTTCTCGTCGCGCACGTTGATCATGAGATGAGAGATGTATAAGTCTTTTAAGTTACACGCATATTAACCACTTACGGAACAAAACACGAAAATACTGTATAAAAAAAAGAGAGAGCGAAATATATATATATATATATATATATATATATATATATATATGCATGTATGTATATCCCATTTTCGTGCGTAAATATACAACATGGAAGGGAATATTTCGCAAGGTACAAAGTGCATCGACGAACTTGCGCTGTTTGCCGATTTTCGAGCTAGAATCGACGTCCGATCAGCGATTTGCATATCCGACGAATATCGGCTCCTCCGGATTGCGCGCTTGTGGCAAACCGACAAACACGGGATTAGTTCCAGACTATGCCGTCGCACGTACATATATATTTGTATTAGTCAACCGCGAGATATTGAAGCGTGAATAACGAGACCCAATTCGCGAAGGATGTCGCCGTGGCAAGATGCGGAAGGAGATTTAATCGTGGCTTGTTAAACCGACGACAGTTTCCACTAACACCCTAATTCAATCCGATGATTAGATAAAATTGAATGAATATCGTTATTATCTCTCCTTCCTTTACATCAATACTCTTAGAGCACTCATCCTATCTAAGACAGTGTTGGAATTTATTGGAAGAAATTAGAAGAAATAATTATAAGAATTATAGTTCAAATGATATTCTCTTTAATGATAGTTTTCAAATAACACAAAAATAAAAGAATATTTATGTATAATCTGATTTTAATATGTAATTGGTATTAAATCTCGAAATTATTATAAAGATAATTTGTATTAAAAAGTGAATATTTTTATAATTTATAATGCTATCGAAATGTGTGATAAATATTATTGTGTAACTATATTCTAAGAAATATTTTTCCCGAAATATGGAACAAATATTTAATACACACATGTGCATAAAATGCATATATAAAATAGAGAATATATATTTATCTACGAATATATAGATGCCGGAGCATAAATTGGTAATTCGAGAAACGCATCGAATTAACGCAACAAATGTCATAAACAGACTATTCGATTAAACACGGATGTATAGTCTGGCGGAATCACTCGGCGCTATAATGAAGCAAGCTCTATTAACACCTCGCAATTAGTTTAATTCACGTATATGTGTACGTACATACTCCCATACATTCCCTGCGCCGGAAAATCTTCTAACGTACGAGTTTAACGAACGACATAGGTGAAGGAATAATGCGCTAACACAATATCATGAATATTACATCAGTAAACAATGCTCTCAACGCGATAAATCATCTTCAAATCTGTTCCGTTGACGATGCGATTTTACACAATTTAATTTTCCCTCTCCTAGAATCTCTCTCGTTGTCACATTATTATTTACGTTCTTATTATTATCACAACCGTAAATTTTATCGTCGACCTGTCTTTATCACATCGATCCGTCAATCCCATAATTAGAACAAGATAAAAGACAGGCTCGGCTCTTTCCTCTTTTTTCTCGCTTTTATCAAGTGGCTGACCCGCCGACCTCGATCGCGAGGGCGGACAAAAGAGACCGAGGGTGATTTTTTTTATGTCCCGCTCGTTTTTCACGCCCGCTCCGTAATATCGCCCGTCAACTTTACCAAACTCGCCCCCGACTGCGATATCTCTCTGCCCTGCCCCCTGCTCTGCCGGTGCCACGCCGCTCTTCCCTTTTTGTTCTCGTCTCTCCCCGCCATCTAAAACCCCGTACCATACGCTTTTTTTTATCGCGTGCGCTAGCAATTTATTTGGCCGATCGTTCTTTCGAGAGTTGGCCATAAAAGTCGTTACACTGGCCAATCGTGTCCATCGAACACGTTTTGTTCGTTCAATCGCAGGCGTGACGAGACTACTGGATAATGTCCGGTGGAGAAAAATGACAAGAGAAAGCGTTTTCTTTTTTTCTTCTTCCGATCCTTGACCTTACGTTCTTTTTGTGCCGAAAGAATATCGATGACAGTATTTTTCATAAATGCCAATGATTTTCCTAAACGATTATTTCGTTTTATTACTGACAAATGGCGGTGTCAGTGAACGTCATTGATGTACTTTTTAATTTTATCAAACATGGAAAAAGTTTGGATTTATCTTTACCTTGTTTATTTATGTTTCAGAAAAATTCTCTAAGTTTCTAACATTTAATTTTATCAAACATGGAAAAAGTTTGGATTTATCTTTACTTTGTTTATTTATGTTTCAGAAAAATTCTCTAAGTTTCTAACATTTGGAAAAAATATTCTCTCGAAATAACATTAACTGTACCACATAAGAAAGTAATCATGAACGTTATTCCCCTGACAAAATCGACGTGTATTTATGATACAAAAATTGCAAATAACCTGCAACATTAACTCCGAAAAAGTATAGATAAAAGTACGTTTCTCCAATTCACTAGTAAATTCTTATAAAAACTTTTTCATGCGACATATCCAATGCTGGCGAGAGATGTACTTAGTTCGTGGTAAAAAAAATAAATACCCCATGAGGGGAGCCAAAGCGTCGACTGCGCGCGCTCTCGATGTTGCCCCATGAAAATGCTTCCAGTTTGCCAACGGCTTTTCTTCCGCCGTAACAATGCCACGACATTCATATAAACCACGAAAACAAAGGACGACGGTTTCTTTCTTACTCACGCTCCGTCTGTTTTCTCGTTACATTGTTCAGAGAATTCGCTTAACTTTCGACGCGGGCCGCTTGCTCCGAGGAGCGATATAGCTGCATGCGCAGTCGCAGTTTCATTATGCTTGCGGTGCAACAGTTTTATGTTCGAAAATATAACACCTTTTTCTTCTTCTGACATGATGCCGCAAATAAAACGCCGTAAATACCGCGTAAATGTAGCATGGTGGCGACGAAGTGAAAACGCACGTAAAGCTCCGTGGAATTAGCGAACGCGTATTATCGATCGCTCGATAGACGAGGTTCGCTCTTAATCTGATTATTAAATAGTTAAGATAAATGCGATTAAATTTATTGCCCTAATTAGGAGAAAAATGCCTAATATGCTTTACACGGGAATTATTTCTCCGATACGTAATTATAAAATAAATTGAAAATAAGATCTATATTATGTATATCCAATTAAAGTTAGAGAACAAACGGTTGCGTGTACAATGTGTACAATCCAAACAGTTTTCATTAATTTCCTCATAATTATGTTTCCTTAATTTAGAGCATTTCGAAATTTCTCATACAGAAAATTATTATATTAATATTAAATTATCTTTTTATACGTAATGTTTTACCTCTTTTATACAAATTATTATTTACATGTTGAGTTACGACGTAATAAGGTTTAAAAGATATTTTAGATTCATCACAGACAGAGTTTTATATTGCTCGTTATATTTTCAATTTATTATATTTTTATTTTAACGCGTATGAAATAACGCATACTTATAATATTATTTCAGGATTGTTGTTAGGAGCGCTCTTTCTTCTCTCTTATAACATTGGAACACAAGATATAAAGTTACCTATTTGTCGAATGACGATAATAGCATTAGAAAGACAAAACTTTCCCGATTTGAAAAGCACGATAACTATTACTCCAGGACTATACTTAGATAATTGAGGCGTTTCACGTTTTAATTTACATCGAGAGATATCCTGTTTCTCATTTCACAGCAATTGCCAGCAGTTTCAGTAACTCGATGTTTTGCACATGCAAACACTATTTAGAGTGAACCGTCGCGTCGAAAGAAAAATTCTTCTCTCACGTGCTTCGTCCTCGTTTACGTTACCTTTCTTTTGATGTTCTCGTTACACGTGTGTCATGTACGCTAATTATCGTCGAGAAAATCAACGCCCTTTCGCTTGTTATCCAGATGTCAAGAATTGCTCTCCAACACTACTGTATTTTCGCACAATCGGTAAATCGTCGACTCGAGTCTCGAGATTCAAAGATGTGGTCCTCCTGTCGAAAACAACCGCAATAGCAAACTTCGGAAAGAATTTTCCGCACATGCAGATTCACTCGCGGAAATCGGATGATATTTTTTTGCATGTAAACTTTCGTTACGTTAAAATCAATTATGAATCAATTGACGCTTTTTAATCGCTTAAACGTTTCATTATTATGCAAATCTAATTTAAGAATATCGTATCGACAATTTTACGCATCGATTTCAATTAAGGAAGCGTGAGTTCTTGGCAGCAACACAAGTTTACGCAAAAAAATACCCACGTAAAGAGATCGAGTTACATATCCGCTCATTAATCACGTTTCACAAAATTCACATATAATTTTCTTCACTGATTAAATACACAAAGTACAGCACGATAGAGCCTCTCTAACGCACACAATGATCGTCGTTCGAAACAGGAGGTCGAACGAGACGTTTCATCAAAGCTGAGAGATCTTAACTAGGAATTCTCTGCTCGCTCGAGCATTCCTGCTATCCGATCTGTGCCGTAAAGCTCGGTACACGTCGAATTACTGCTCTTGGCTCTTGTCGTCGTTCAAAAATTCTCCTTTTGATTTTACGACGCGACCGGTAAATCGTGTGTGTACAAAAAAAAAATGCACCAAAGGAGGAAGAAACTTCAGCAACGCGTTAAATAAAAGCATGAAAAACGTCAAAACTACACTAGAGTAGGTCGCTTATCTTTCATATGTACGTCGAAAAATCGATTTTCTTTTTTTTCAAGCGCGAAATCACCGTCGACGAAACAAGTAGAGTCCCTCGCGAGTCCGAGGCGCACCGAGATAAGTAGAAAAAGTCAACGCCGATGTCCGGCTGTCGTTGTGGCGCGCGGCGAGCCACTGACTGCCTCCGCCAATTCCACGCCTCTCCCTGTCCCCACCCCCACCCCCGTTGTACGCCACCACCTACACATCTATCCCTACCACCTAGACTACCCTCTCAACGCACCCTTTCCTCTCAACGACCGCCGGCGCAAACGCCACGACCCTCCTCATCCCTCTTTGCGCGGAGGATTCGAGGCCACCGTTTCGGTTGTACTCCCAACTCGCCCGAGATGCAGTTTCGCTCCTCCTTTTGCCGAGGGCCCAGCCTACGGGTCTTTTTTCCACTTCTGATGGCTTTACGCTCGTCTCAATCTTGTCTTATAATTTAGACCTTAATCTCGAAAGAGAGCCTTCCCTCGAGATTACGCGTGTTTTATTAATTGGTTATCAAGAAGCAGGCTAATCAGTTAATTAGTAATTATCCGATTAAAGAAAGAGTAAAAATTTCTACATAATTTCGTATTTATATAGAATAATTTGATGCTATGAGAAAACTTATCTCTACCGATGGCAATTTGATTTCCTAAATTTGCTTGTTACGACATATAGTGCATTTATCATACGTGACCGATGATATAGAATTTTCATTAACCTGACACCCCACTATAAAAAATCATGTTTAAAAATATTGTATAATTAGTATAATTAATTTATTGCTACTTGCAAACGTGGTGCTAGCTTGTATACAAGACTATAAAGTACATTAATGCAATTAATTGGTATTATAATTTTGGTCTTAAAATGTTCCTCAAATTAACTGTGTTCTCAACATACAGAATATGAAATTTATTGTTCCTCGTTTAACTTAGTTTATTCTTGTGCGTCAGTTAGCATTGCTACACTGATTTTTCCAAATTAAATGATTGTAAAAATAATAATAAGTTCGATATTTTAAGAGCAATTAATTTGGAAAACATTTTAAGACCAAAATTATTACAGCAATCAACTGCATTCATATGTTTTATATATAATAGACAGTTTAACCATCATAGATTTGTTTTATTTTTTTTCTAAGTCTGGTGAGAAAAAATTTGAAAATAGTGATTTTGAGAGCAATTTTGAGAGCAGTTAATTCAAAAACCAATTTTATAACAAACTGATATTGTTAGCTTTTTAATTTGGTTTTTTCTTTCGATGATTTTTCTTTTATATTTTGTAGTATTTCATGTTGATGAGTTTATAAAAATTAAATATTTTCGAAATCTGCAGTATCTTTGAACAATTAATTAACAACAAATTTTAGTATTTGTTTTTTATTTACAGCTTTAAGTGTGTTTCAGAAGTAGAGATAGCGTAATGGCAGTACCTGCAGCTTTAATTATCATTTTCCTGCTAATGGATAGAAGTAATAAATACGCGCTTAGAGCAATAAATTAGCAACAAAGTACTTAGCATTTAATTATGTAGTAATCTATCTGAACTTGAATTTTCGTGGTAGATTAATAAGAATGATATTGAATATAACTATATATAGATAAACGTAAATTTATACTTGTCGTATTTATGTTTGTATAATAAATTAACAAACTCCGTAATTATATATTATATTTTTATATCCTTAATTCTATAACCGTCACTCTCCAAAAAACATACTCGCAAATAATCCATTTGTCGCATTACAATCATTTAGCTGCGATCGCAAATTATACTACTCTTACATAGCCCATTTTCGTACTTAATAAAACGTATAAATATTAAAATATTATTATTTTGTAAAAAATATTAGAAAAATTTTTGAAACATTAATAATAACGTCTTTGATGTTTGTCATAAATAATTATTGGAATGCGACTAATCTAAATTTTTAACTATATTTAACTATATTTACGATATATAATATTGAAGTAAAAATGCAAGACAGTTGACATTACAAGCAAGTTCTTTTCAAGCTTATTACCCGTTTATTTCACGATTGACTATTTTTTGCGAAAAAAGTCAACAGACAGTCAATTTTTCGAGGGGGACATTTAAGTACATTTTAAAAAGTTGCTACAGGATAGCTTTGCATTCTTGTATAATTCTTCGATGCAATCGTTTATGTTTTTCATAAACAACATATTTTAAGTATCCTCACAGATAAAAGTCTTTTTCAAAATGTTCATTCAGAATTTGAGAATTGTTTAGATTATTTAGAAATTCTTTAGATTATTTAGAAATATTGTTTAGAAAACAATGGGAAACATTTTGAATATTTATTATAATAAATGACTAATAAATAAATTCTACTCTAAATTGTATCTTTGTATGTAAAACTTTTGATACCTAAAACTTCCAAATACAATTTTTCAAAAAATATTCACTTAAATAAAAAAAAGAAAGAGAATTGTACACAGAATCAAAAGATCTTTAAAATGATATATCACTTGATTCTTATTGCCATTTATTTAAGATAGCATTTTTCGCAAAAAAAAATAGTCAATCATGAAATAAACGGATGGAAAGTTTTGAAATGAACACTGCATATACAAAATGTATCAGAGCGACTGTAACAGCAGTTTCTTGAGGAATCTAAGCATTTTAGAGAAAAATGTTTCATAAAAAAGTTATAGGGCTTAAAATAATTTATTTAATGATTATATTAGTTTGACTTTGAACAGAACTGTCAAGATTATATAAAAAATACTTTGAATTTTTTAAATGGAAACCCCCATTTTTTATCGTTATATGACATATTCTTGTAGCTTACCTCGAGAGCTTTCCAAAACACTATAATAAAATATTTTTCTCTTAAGTAATTTTTGAGTATGAGGCTTGAAATCGTTTCTTAATTTTACATAAATCATAAAATATCTAGCAAGATATTCATTTTTCGATTATCTTATCTTAATACTTTTATGTAAAAAATAATGAGAGGAATCGATTGCTGTAAAGGAAACACATAGTTGTCTCGAAGAAAAAATATGTAATTTGCAATTAACAATTACATATTTTTTCTTCAAAACAACTATGTGTTTTCTTTATATCAATTCATTCCTCTCATTATTTTGTACATAAAAGTATTAAGGTAAAATAATTGAAAAATGAATATTTTACAAGATGTTTTACGGTTTATGTAAAATTAAGAAATAATTTAAAGCCTCCTAACTCGGAAAGTACTTAATGAAAACTAACTTGATTGTAGTTTTAGGGCTACAAGAATATGCAATAAAAAATAGAGTCCCATTTAAAAAATTCTAGGTGAGACTTTGCTCTGATCTTGGCGACGCCACCCAAGGTTAAACTCATAACGTCAGTAAATAGACCTTTGGAAATCCTACAACTTTTATCTGAAACATTTTTTTCTGAAATTTTTAGTTTTCAAGATATTCCACCGTTCCGGTACTTTTTATACACCCTATATAAATATATACAGAGTGTCCCAGTTATCTTCCGTCATTTTTCAAAGACAGATTCCTGGGATCATTTGAAGACGATTTTTCCTCAGCAAAAATGTCAATGAAGGTCATTATTTTTTGCATGTTCCCGATTTTTGTCATCATATATCTTTGCAAGTAAATCTTAAATTAAAACTCAACTAAAGTAAACTCTATTTAAAATTAATCAAAGAATGTGATTTTATTTCTACAAAGCTTAGTTTACAGAAAACCCCTTATTTCCAATAACTTATAATTCGAAAATTATTAATGCCTCGACATTTTCGTTGAGGAAAAATCGTTTTCAGATGATCCCAGGAATCTGTCTTTGAAAGATGACGGAAGATAACTGGGACACCCTGTATGTATATATATATATATATATATATATATATATATATATATATATATATATATATACAGGGTCTACCAAAAGTGTGGAAACCCCTAAATATCTCGGAAAATATACGTTTTACAGAAAAGTGTTTCCAACAAAAGTTGTAGGGTTTAAGAAGATCTATATACTGATTCTATCAGTTTGACCTTGGATGGCGTCGTCAAGGTCAGGTCAAGGTCACATTGACTTTTTTAAATGACACCCCCTACATTTGATTGCATATTCTTATAGCTTAATTCAAGAGCTTTCCAAAACACTATAATAATGTTCATTTTTATTAAGTACTTTGCGAGTTATGAGGATTGAAATAATTTCTTAATTTTACATAAACCATAAAATATCTAGTAAACCATTCATTTTTCGATTATCTTACCTTCATACTTTTATGTACAAAATAATGAAAGGAATCAATTGGTGTAAAGAAAACATACAGTTGTTTTTAAGAAAAAATATGGAATTGTTAATTGCAAATTACATATTTTTTCTTAGAAACAACTATGTGTTTTCTTTACACCAATTGATTCCTCTCATTAATTTGTACATAAAAGTATGAAGGTAAGATAATCGAAAAATGAATGGTTTACTAGATATTTTATGGTTTATGTAAAATTAAGAAATTATTTCAATCCTCATAACTCGCAAAGTACTTAATAAAAATGAACATTATTATAGTGTTTTGGAAAGCTCTTGAATTAAGCTATAAGAATATGCAATCAAATGTAGGGGGTGTCATTTAAAAAAGTCAATGTGACCTTGACCTGACCTTGACGACGCCATCCAAGGTCAAACTGATAGAATCAGTATATAGATCTTCTTAAACCCTACAACTTTTGTTGGAAACACTTTTCTGTAAAACGTATATTTTCCGAGATATTTAGGGGTTTCCACACTTTTGGTAGACCCTGTATATATATATATAGATGTATGTATGTATATATACATCGTATTTTTTAAAAATTTACATAAATGCATTACATTTACAGCGTACATTTACTTTTAAATCTTTTTTAAGCTTACATTGACAGTAATACATGTTCTTAGATTTTATATAGCGGTTCCTATAGAATCTGTAGAATAAGAACAGATTTATTATCAAATTTCCAATAAATACAGGTCCGAAAACAGCTGGTACTGGACAACTTGGCAGTAATGTTTGAGCTAAGTAAATTATCTGTATGGTAAATTGCACCTGTTTGAATAGAAATCAGAGTTTATTAAATAATTCATTACACACGTAAAATTTTCACATGCCATCTTAATTGTATTTTTATTTAAAGATGTACGTACGTGTATATAAATATATATAAATATATATATTTATACAGATTTACATATTCACGAAACGATACAAATGTTTCGTGAATATCTCGATAACAAATCAATAAACATTTTATGTTAACTTGCCATTTGTAGGATAGTTATGGATGGTTTTATCGGATTAATGACTTTCCGTACAGTCGGTCCAAATGTCGCGAGCAAATAGTAAGTGTACATTATAACATGTACAAAGCAATTAAGCAAGGTGATAAAAGTCGTCATTCCACCAGCGACATACTTTGTGTAAATCCAGCTAAACACACAATTGGACACGTGATGATATACGTGTAAAAACGAGATCTGATTGTATTTTTTTCTGAGAACATATATGCCTGTTTCGATAAGATCAGCCAGCTTCAAGAGCGATATCCACCACATAGTCGTAGCCAACTAAAAAAATTCGTACGATTTGTTAAATGTTTATGATTCATTTATAATGTATACATAATTTATAAGTAGATGTGTGTGAAATTCACACATACGTAATAGTTTTTCATTATTCAATTACGGATTTTACACATACGTAATAGCTTTTAATATTATACGATTAATTTAGTATATCATTATGACTATGACAAAAAAAATCAGCAAAATCACATAAAAATTTTTTTAAACGGATAATGTAATTTATTATTGAAACTGTAAATAAACTAATAAAATGTATGATTAAACATATTATAGTTGTTGACTTTAAACGTTTGTTAAATTTTTAAAGAAGAGATAAATAATTAGCAACATACTCTATAAGGATCAGGCTTGTAAGAATAATCAACCGGCACACAAGTTAATGGTATTTTCGTAAACCAACCCGCGGCAATGTGTTCGTACACTAACCATGCATTTGCAATTATTTGAAAAATATTATAGAATTTCATAAAAGTTCTTAGCGAATATGGTGGCCGATTCTTCATGTATCGAGGTCCGCATCGTAAGACAAAATATACATAAGCAATTAACAGAAACGGTATTTGATACATAGAATTCATTAATAACCAATTGTTTGTTCTTTGATCTGAAAACTCAAATACAGATTTATAATGTGCAGTTATTAGGTGATATATTGAGAATATTATTAAATAAAATCTATTCAGTGAAGAAATATTTTTCGCTTTTTTAATTCTAAACTCAATCTAAGTCATTTTGATGTAAAATAATAGCTCTAATATTATTGCTAATATGTAAATTATATTTTTTGAGAAATATGTAATTTGCTATTTTAATAACATTTTATATTTCTCAAGAACAACAATGATGAAAGAGGAAATGATTATTATTCTGATCAATGTATATTTATACTCACCGGCAATTTCTGTCCAGTAATAGTGGAATGTATTTATCAAAGTCATCATGACACACAAATCTACTATTGTAGCGTGACAATGCACTCAATAATCGATTATCACTGCAATTTTTCGAAATATTTTAAACCAATCGAATCTTTAACAACAGTGATATATTCGATTTTATTAAAAAAATGAACTCTATATATTTATACCACTTTATTTATACCGTTTACTTTGTATCATTATATTCATTTATTATGCATTTTATATGCAATGAAATCGTGAAGCCGAATATATCGAATGTCCAAAAAGTTCGTGTCCATTTTTTATTTTAATGTTAATTGTTGATTACAATTCATTATTAATAACAATTTTATTTTATTCGCAAAAAACATACAATCTACTTAAATGCGTAATTGTATTATTTATATATATTAAGATAATATTAGTATTAGCACAATTGCATTATCATAATCATTAATTTAAAAAAATTTTTTAAATTGTAATTAAATTTGAATCAATTGTCGTCAAAAAAATAAAAATATTTTCATTTCTTCAAATTGTTATTACTTTTTATATAATTTTCATGAAAGATATAAAAAGCAATAATAGTTTCGTGTAAAAAAAATTTTTTATATTTTTATTAAAAAAAATATGTTATTTTTAAATTTACTAACGAAATATCCATTGTAGTTTGCGAAACTACCAGTACACTGCATATATGCAGGAATTCAATATTTTAAAACATGCAGATGAAAACATTCAACAATGCCGAATCAATCTTTATTCAACTTTTAACATTTAACCTTATTCAAATAAGCAATTTATTGTCATACTTTTCTGAAGAATTGTAAATACTTAATGTTTATTTTATTCAAGTCATTTGACTTGACGTCAAATAACAAAATAAATATTCATAAACAAAAATTCATTAAGTATTCTTCGTTATATTCTAGCCAAATTAACAATTTTTTATTGTTATTCCTTTTAATATTACTTCTTTTTATAACTTTTTTTTATAAAAATCAGAAATAGAAAAATATATTAATTAATAAACTTATCGTGTGTGCAAAGGAAGGATTCAATTTCCGAACGAAGACAATCACAAGAAATTTTTTCTAGAACAATGCATAGCAAGTAACATACATACAAACAAATGCAAAAGAAGAATATATGTTTATATATCTTTCTAGATACAAAGATAATCATATTCATTAGATCTATTATCTTTAAAATCTTATTACATATTATAGCATAGTAAAAAATTTATGTCAGAATGTGTTAACGATTATCGTGAATTAATTGTGTATAATTTATTAACAGTTAAATAGCAAGTTTTTTTTACGAAAAATAATTTGTATATTAAGATACTTATTTATTTCTTGAAATTATAAATAATTAAATAATCTTTATAATTTAATAATTTATTAAGCTTAAAAGAATAATATACAGAATGAAAAGAAGAGAGAAAATTAAAATGATGAATTAACCAATTATATGCTCGCACTATCTAGTTCACGTTCATAGAATTTTTAAAAATATTATATAATCTTGTAAAAATTTACAGAAGAAATGTGCGATTCTCTATTAAATCGCTGATGAATCTGTAATATAAGTACAAATAAAAGAATATGTAAATAGCAAATATAATTAATATTTGATATGAGAAATTCATTTGCTGCCTTTACATCTAGATAGAAATATAAATACAGATGTAAATGAGATATGCTTATAATAAATAATAAAGTACAAATATGTATAAATGTAAATTATAATATAAATATAAATATAATTAAAATTAGAAAATAATTATAAAATTAATTTTTAATTAAATTAATTATAAAATTTGCTCTCAAATCATACAGTTCTAAAAATATATTAAAGAAGATTATATTTTGTAAAAAAAGTTGCTGAAGATTGCAAATACAAAAAGATAAATAGAGAGAAATAAGACTAAAAAAAAAAATGAAAAAGATATATGTATAATGAAAAAGAAAGATGAATCATTTTTATTTTTGACTTCAAAATAAAGATTATAAAGATTATAATTAATTTTTAGAACCTATTAAAATGAAAATATAGAAAGCTTCTATTTTTTATTCATTATTTTATTGATTTTGTTATTTTGTCTACGAATAACTTTAGATACGTATACATAAGAAATAATTACACAAACACGAAAAAAAAGTATTTTTTAGTAATTTATATGTGTGTATCATTTTTATAGATTATATTATTATAAATTTATCACAACTTGCATGCTAAAATTAACAATAACGTTGATATAATAATTAACGTTGATATCATGAAATTATCCTGGATGTTGATATTATTCACCGACTGATCATTTGTTGCCAATAATAATGATATGATTCCGCGGAAATCCATTGTACGTGATTGCACTTGCATCAATGTGATTATCGATAATCAATCGAAGTGCACTTGTCAATCGATAGCCGATCACTATAATTTCTATCTATCATAATCCATCAGTGTATCATTCCTATTATTATCACTCACTATCACTTCTCGACGTAACCATAATGAAAGAAAAGCTAGTTCGATAAATATAAGAATCAGTTTGGTAATTTCGCATATATGTGTTGCATACATACACAAACATCTATACACATATATAAAATATATAATATATACTATATAATATATATTATATACTATATAATATATACTATATAAAATTCAGATTATATTTGCATCGATGCATTAAGTATAAATAAGTAAATACATTATTCATCAATCTTTACTATCCTACAGATATCGCTATTAAATAAATATATCAATCTATAAATTATATAATATTATTTTCAACATGTTTTTAATATCTGTATCAAACGAACAATTTAGTAAAAATACATATACTATAACGTTCCAAGTAAAATCGGTGTATATGTTTAAAATTATTACGAATCTTTTAAGTTTAACACAATTTTTTTCGATCGTGAATTTATAGCAATCATAGCAAATATAATAATGAAACATTAGATGATGATTCGAAGCGAGCAGACTCGTTAATATTATGTTTGCAGTGCATTTCTTCACTGGGGGGATTCTCGTAATGAATAATTTTAACGTGTGAATAGCATATAACATCATGAAGCTTTAATAGATACTAACATTGCTGAACATCGCAATAAGTTATACTAATTATATATAATAAATATTATAGTAAATGCACTGCACGCGTTCTCTGTCTCTCTTTTTCTCTCTCTTTCTCAAACTTGATGATGTTATACATAACGCAAGCTTTGTAATAATCCATTTGATGGAAATTCGAAGTTCATACCTGGTATGCGCTTTATTGTTGCTTCATATCAGTCTCGTGTATTTTACTTTATGTGTATATAAGTAGGAGATAACAAAAATAAGTCGAGATATCATTTTGTATTGCAATTCCGCCGTTTATATTATTCCTTACTTTTTATATACATTTTATATTATTCATCACTTGCTAGTCCCACTGTTTTCTTTTGCGTTACCAGCACAATTTTTCTTCAATAAAATACGAGATAGAGAGAGAAAAAAGTTGAAATTTATATACACACATATCATAGATTGTTAATATTAAATTAAAATTCTTCTCATTTTGAAAATTAGATTTAATTATAAACATGTGCAGTGGCATAAACATTCATACAGAAAAGAAAGAAAAGGCTAGAGATTAAATTTTTTCATTCGTTCTTTTTCAATAATCTTTTCATGATAAAAGAATCTAATTTCTTTTTTATATCACAGATTTATAAAAACTCTTTTGAGATAACACAAAGAACCTTTCGATTCTTATTTTTTTCTTGTTTCTTTTACTATAAAAGCTATTGTTAAAATAAACGAGTCATAAATATCTAATTGCATGGAAAATTTCTCAACATTTCTAAAAATATATAAATAAAAAATATTTATCATTTTAATATAAAGATAAAAATTATATAAAGTGCTTGATGCCAGAAAAGTAAAACAAAAAATTTAAATTTGTTAATAATTAAGCAAAAGCTATCTTATTTGCGAAAGTAAAAACCAAGATATATCAAAGATTTATATTGCAGATGCAGTTTTAATAAATCGATAGTTATTTTTATTTATATAGAATTTTTAATAAGAAGAAAATATCAAAACCTAAAAGTTTCTCCTTTTTAAGTGATTGATTTAAATAATACTGTCTTATTTATTTTATATATTTATTATGTTTAATATCTTTTATTTCTCAATTGCATTGAATTTAAATGAGAAAAAGTAACTCTCCAGAAGTTTATTCCTTCTATACATACTTTCGAGATAAGTACCTAGACGGAAGCGAAAACTTTTTGCCACTAAGGAGCTATCCAGACTGCAACTAGAAAGTAGTAAAGTTTGCAATATTGCAAAAGGATATATTAAGAATGGCTAATCGAGCTTTTCTATAATCGATTACGAGAGAAAAGCCTATAGTCTCATCAGAGCAAAAGAGCTTAGACACGTTCAATCCAGCAATTTCTCAAGAGGCTTGCAAGAATACAATAATTTCTTTTACTTAGCGTCTTACGAAAACTTATTTAATCGCGACGAAAGCAAACTCGAACGTAATTTACACCATGGCCGAGTCGATTGAACTCGCCGTGTATCGATGAGAGGACGAATATCGAGAGCTGTTCGTCGACAAATTCGTACTCGAGGCTGCACAAGTCGGATTTTCTCTTGTAGGTCGTTTTTCGCTCGTATGGACCGATGTGTTGCTTTTTTAAGGCTGCCTGACGCGCTCTCTTTCTCTCTTTCTCTCTCTCTCTCATTTTTTTTTCAATCGCCAGGTAGAAAAAGAGGTCATCCGATAGAATGAACTCACCCGCTTTAACATGAACAACCATATTTTTTGCCAGCCGCTTACACCATGAACCATGTATACAGAATATCGAACATTTAATAAGGAGGAGTGATGCTTCCGCGAAGATTGAAGTAAGTTTTTCTCATATCAAAGTTTCGAATTATGCATAAATTCCTTTCATAGAAGCTCTGACGTTAAATTTCAATTGATTAAGAGGACAAGAATCCGCTGAAGAGAATAATACACTTAAATATATTCGAAGTTGGATTTCTTTCAGACTCTTATGATGAAGCAAAAAAATTATTCATAATTGCAATTATAGTTTCAAAATTTCATCAAAATGATTAAACGATCGAGTGTGATTTATCTTCGTGACAGCTGTGCAATTTTGTCGATGCGTCACTGCCGCAATGAAGTTTCCCTCGCGAGATTTAGTTACCGGTACAACATTAACGGCCTTCCCATCACGGAAGTGAGGCGACGTCACAGAACAGCAGAAACGCAGAAGAAAAGGCGGAATTCCGGTGCGAACCGGAATCCGGTGATAATTTGTCGCGGGATTACCATCGTAGTCGGCGCGTAAAATAATAGTGCGCGTTTAATATGAAATAAATCTGAGCACGAGCGACGTATCGGTGGGAGAGATAACCGGTTGAGAATTGTCTGTTATATGTGAAAAGGTGTTAAAAATTATTTTTTCCTTTATCATTAAATTATGGAGATCTTTATATTTTTGTGACAAAACTAAATCTATGCAATAACAGTATTTTCAGAAAAAGTCTAACATCAAACAAGTTTGTGTTAAGATATTGCGATATGTTACTCTGCTTTAGTTGCAATAATATATAAATATATATTAAGTACGTTTAGCTAACAATCATGTTTAGTCGACAAAATTTTTTCTTGAAAAAATCTTACATACATAAAATGCATAATTGACTTGTTAAAATGCATTATTTAATTAAAATAATTATTAATTTAATTAATTTAATTTTGAAAAACATGATAGACATTTAGAAAAAACTAAACTTAATAGCTGGCAATCTCTCTTAAAGTGTTACTAATTACTTTTCGATTTGATACTACTAATGATACTACTAATGTAAGTAATTTTTAACATTACAAGTTTCAGTTATAGTATTAGTATTTATATAAAATCAAGAAATTAATATCTAAAATACGATATATATAATATAATATAAATTTAGAAACGTGTTATGAAAAATGGCCAAATTTCATTGCAATTATATTTAGAATTATATATAAACATAAATTCTAAAAATAAATAAATAATATGTAAGTAATATGTTAGATCGCGATCTTATGTTCAGCCAAATAAAAATTTTCCAATTATCCAACAAAATATTATATATACATATAAATTATATTAATAAAGATTAACATTAAATTTTGTATAGTAGAGATCTATTACAATTAAATGTATATCCGCGTTACCTTCTAGCACTGTGCATAATATAGCGACGCAAGTCAAGAGGTCGTATTATATAAAGAAAATTACATAAGGAAAATTATTCCTTCATGAAAAACCAAGTGCAAAGTACGTAATAGCGCACGGTATAAATACAACGAGAATGTGTTCTAAATAATCATGCGTACTACATGATTGAGTCTGATCGTTAAATCAATACGGTTATTTTACGATATAAATATAAAAACGATACTAGTCAAACTGTGAGATTTTATCATAAAACAAAATCCAAGAAAAAAACAACATTTATTAATTCATAAGTAAGATTCAACAAAAAAAATCAACCCTTATGGATTTTTTGCAAGAAATTCAATATAAATGGACAGAGAAGCTTGGTAAGAATATTGTTTATACTATTATAATAGTAACAATAGTTCTTTATTTAAATAAGACATTATAATACGTATTATACTATATTATACTATAATATAATTTGTTTCATATTATTATATTATACTAAATACAGTGATTTGAAATTTTGCGATAATTAATAAATATTTCCAGTTATCAAAGAAAAATTCACTCACAGAAAAATTTCATAAAAAATACTTTCAACATTAAACACAAATTTTCTTACATAATAAAATAAAGATGACATTTTATAGTTCAAAATATATTTCTAATTTGTAAAACTTTCAAAGCAAGTAACTGATAATGATATGATAATGTGATAATAACAAATAATATAGACATAATATTTTAACTATAAAACTATGTAATATATTAACGTTATATATAATAGAAATAATAATATATAAATAAATTAACAAATAATTTTGAGAATATAATGTCATTATTACAGTATGTCAGTTATATTCTGTGCACACTGAAATATACAGAGAAATGTAGAATTTAAATATTGATTAATTTGTGTAGTCTTTTTATGACCTGAATGCTTTCCATAATTGAAAATATTAATTTATTTTTTCAGATAAACGAGTAGCCGATTTTCCTTTAGTCGAGTCTTTTTATTACGTGCCACTTATAATATTCGCGTATCTATATTTTGTACTCAGGTGTGGGCCACGATTTATGAAGGACAGACAACCATATTCATTGAAAACGTTTATAAAGTTATATAATATCATTCAAATTATCGGAAACGCTTGGTTGATTTATGATAACATCGATGCCGGTTTGTTCACAAAAACAAAATTAATATGTTATAGCGGGAACGTAATGGATTACTCCTATAATTATACTTTATTGAGGGTAATAAGTTACATATATAAAACACAGGAAACAGATATATATATATATATATATATATATATATATATATATATATCATAGACAAATATCTATTTAAAAATCTTGAACGAAATTCAATTCGTATTTCTCCATATTAAATGCAACTTTGTGTCAAATTTTTGTTCAGATAAAACAACTTTCGGCAATTATGTTTCCGGCTAAGTTTTATTTAAAAAATGATGCGAAAGAGTCATAAGTAAAAAGAAACTAACAAAATAGATTTTGTAAATGGTATACACATACTTTTACAGTATAAAGGGTCAACGATTGTGAGCGAGTAAAGCGTAGTAAACGCGTAGCGAACAAAAAAGTCCTTCATTATTTTGCAATTTTTGCAATAATTATTAAAATATTAAATGAAAAAAATTGGAAAAAATGAGCGCATATTACTCGTAGCTAGACTATGGAATGTGTGCTTCAGGCGTGCCAATAGCGAGAGTTGCACGAAAAAACAAGAGTCGGAGAATGCACTGTCAAACTTTTCGTTGTAACACTTGCCATTGACATGTCTAGAAAACACATCCCACAATTTAGGCGCACGAAACGCATATCAATTCGCTAATCTTTTTTAATTAATATTTCAATAATTATTGTAAAAATTGCAAAATGGCAAAGGAATTTTTTGTTGAGTTTTACTCTATGTTCACGAACGTTGATCCAATCTTTATCAATACTCTGTATATCAAAAGTTCCGGAACGGTCAATTATCTTATAAAATATTATAAAATATATACTTGAGTTTTGGATGATTTTAAATATTCTCATCAAGATCAACATAAAAGTTTTAAATGGAAACTTTTATTTTTTATCAGATATTTTTGCAGCTTATATCGAAAGTTCTTTAATGGGTCTTTTGATGGAGCTTTTCAAAATTTCAATATTCGATTTCTTTAACATTCAAATAAATATCATCAGCTAATAGATTTTCGAATCTTACGATTTTTGCCTGAAATATTTGTCCATTAATAAATTTCTGTGATAATTAACCGTTTCGAAAATTTTGATACGAACTGTACATCGAAGTATTCTTATGTTAACAATCGAATAATATATATATCAACGAAATATAATAATTACTATATATCGCTTACCATACTCATACATATTCGTTTCGTACAATAATAATAAAACAAAAATAATAAAACAAATAAAATAATAAAACAAATTAATTAATATATCTGAATATTATATTGCAGTTATGTAGATGTGTATGGTTTTATTTTATGTTGAAAATCTTGGATTATGTCGAAACATGTGTGTTCATATTAAGGAAGAAAAATAAGCAAGTGTCTGGTTTGCATTTATATCATCATGTATCCACCTTGCTTATTACATGGTTAGGCTTAAGATATTTTGCTGTTGCTCCAATCTTCTTAAGCATCTTCATCAACAGTTTCATACATATGATAATGTACACCTACTACTTCCTAGCAGCTTGGGGACCGGAAGTTCAAGAAGCTATAGCACCTATGAAACAATGGATAACTAAAGCACAAATGGTAAATGATCCTAATTTTTTGCACATTTTTTATATAGCGTAGTGCTATTATTTCTATCCTTTTTAAATTATCTTATTAAGACTTCACGTTTAATTAATGGTATTTATGAATCTCAAAAATTTCTCTTATATTTGCGATTTTATTGTTTTCAAAAATTCATTAAAATATTATCCTATTATATTTTATGGTGGTTTTTTTTTTATATTGCAGGTCCAATTCGTCATATTGATACTGTATGTTTCGCAGAACTTTTTGCCAAATTGCAAGTCCACCGATCATTGGATTGTCATGCTATTCATCGGAAATTTATTGTTTAATTTCTATATGTTTTATGATTTCTATCAAAAGGCATACAATAAACCTAAAAGAAAGACCAAATAGATTGTAAAATATATGTAATATATGTAAATTCAAAAATTGTTTTTATACAGCCAAATGTTCATATTATAAACTCATTGGAATCGAAAAACATTCTATTTTTCGCTTGCTTTATTACTTTAATGTCATATGCTAAATGTAAATAATGGGGGAAGCAACATAGAAAAGTCCTTCATTCTATCATTATTACATTTAGCTAATTTAGTATATAAACAAATTTATAATATGAACATTTAATTGTATGAATATATAGAGAATTTTAAATTAGTATTTTTACATTTATAAATATATAAAATATAAATTTAAAAACAAAAATTTGTAAATAATTAATAAATAATATATAAATAATCATTAATGTTTCTCATATGAATGATGTGCGTGATTGTCCTAATTATCCGTTTTATATACATTATGCAACTTTTTTTATTAAATATTCTGCATTATAATTATTATCTCTCATACATTTTTGAATTATTTATTATATGTCTAGCTATTTTCTATGTTTGATATAGAAGACTATTTCTCTATAACTGTATATCTAATTATAAACTCAGATGAATATTAGTGCTGGACATTTATTATTAACTCTTTTAAGATCTTCTGGATCTTCAATTAATAATTTAATAAATTAATTATTATAATTCTTATATTATTTTCACAAATTATACTTTTTACTTTAGAAATTTCTATGAGATTTATTCAAGATTATGTTTCTTTCTATTTTATCAACTTTATATAGTATGGAAATCTAAAAGATTGGAACATATTCCAATTATTAGTCTAACATTTAAATTTAATGACCTAATTTCTTTAATTAATTTATATTGATTTACATTTGGAAATATAGACTTTTAAGCTGAACAACATATTAGTAAAATTGACAGCGCCAAGTTTTTTTAATTAAAATTTTCTTTACCTTTTTGTTTTATATTAATATTCAGTTTTCAATTTTTAAATTAATTTTTAATTTTTTAATATTATTATTTTTGAAAATTAAAACAACTATTTTGTATAGCAATGTTTTCAATTAAAATATTTATATTTAACTTGTACAAGTTTTCTTCCTTGTACTTCTATTTATCTTGTACAAATTTTTATACTTAGTTGGCGCAATTTCTTTATATCACTACTTTTGTAGACAATATAACGGTTGGATACAATTAGTATGAACTCAAGCATAAACTTGACGCCCTTTTTTAACTTTTTCTAAAAAGGTAAATTTTTGTCGATTATATCACTTTCTTTTTTTAGTCTAATTTGCTAAAAGATATTATATTAAAAAAAAAAATATATATATATATATATATACATATATACATATATGTATATATGTGTATATGTATATGTATATTTTTTAAATATTTAAGCTAATTATATAAGAATATATATAAAATAAATAAATAAATATATATATATATATATATATATATATATATAGAGAGAGAGAGAGAGAGAGAGAGAGGGTGTCCGATTCATGAGGGACCAAACGAAAAGTGATAATAGATTGGGTCAAACTAAGAAGAATAATCCTCTAACATTTTGCAAAATTCGCAATAATTATTAAGTAACAAGCAAAAATGTACATACATATACATACATGCATACATATATATGTATGCATATATACATACATGCATACATACATATGATGATAGATTGGGTCAAACTAAGAAGAATAGTCCTCTACCATTTTGCAAAATTCGCAATAATTATTAAGCAATAAGCAAAAAGTGGTCTACCGCTTCTCATGCGCCGGGACATTTTTAAATATAAATATATATACAATTATATATATATATATATATATATATATATAATTGTATATATATTTATATTTAATAGTTAGATAAAATTCTGCAAGATAGTTGAAATTACTTTTTATATTCAAAGTAATAACGTTTTCATTCAGATAATTCAATAAAATTACATATGAAATATTAACGTCAATAATTTTTAATATTAATTTCCATAATGTATTATTGAAATCTTAATCTATTTCCAAATCCCCTTTGTATATAATAAATTCAATTATATAATTAATATTTTTGATATATAGTTTTGCTACAAAAAATCGCGCATATGCGCGTGTATATTTAATGTCATTATAGTACAATTTCATTAATTCTTTTATTTCGTTATTTCTTATTCGAATCATTAAGTTTGTTTAGCTCTTCTTGTTTTTTTATAAATTATAGCTATATTATATTGAAAATTCTTGTTCAATATTATTGCTCCAATTTAATAATATTTATTACATTTTTGTTTTCCGGAAGATCTGTATTTTTAACTGTTTTGACATTTTCTCTTTTTTTTATTTCTTTTTCAGGAAATGCACATATACAGGGTGAGGAAAAAGTATCGGGACACCTAAATAACTTCTGAACGGTTTGAGATATCGGATTGAAATTTACAAGGTTACAATGGTATCACACAATCTATCAGATAACACCAAAAACGCCCATTTTGACACCCCCGGGGGGCGGGGGGGAGGGAGGACGAGAAAATTTTAAATGGAATGTGGGGTCGAGTGAGGGTTCGTTTGAAAGAGCTTTTCGAGATAAGAACAACGCGATGTCGCCGAGGTCTCTACGATTTTTTTTCGCAGAATTATGATCATTTAAACATTGAGATTTCGCAGTAGCGGAGGACCCACGACGAAGACGTGAGAAAGACTTTCCGCGGACACGTGTGGATAAAATTGCATGTAGGAAGGCATGTGGAGTGTGCGTGCTGGCGCAGTAATTAATGACTCCAAACCACCTCTGCTGTGTGCGCGCGCGCGCGTGTGTGTATGTGTGTGTGTGTGCAAGACCGAGGATGTAGTATGTAATTAACTAAGACAGGTATAGGAAGGTTTATATCAATTGTTCAAAATGTGCACCGTCAACTGTTTGACAACAGGCTCCGATGATAAAAAGATGAAATGGCACACCCCACATGCCTTCCTATATGCAATTTTATCCACACGTATCCGCGAAAAGTTTTTCTCACGTCCTCGTCGTGGGTCCTCCGCTACTGCGAAATCTCAATGTTTAAATGATCATAACTTTGCGAAAAAAAATCGTAGAGCGGCGACATCGCGTTGTTCTCATCTCGAAAAGCTCTTTCAAACGAACCCTCACTCGACCCCACATTCCAATTTAAAATTTTCTCGCCCTCCCTCCCCCCCGCCCCCCGGGGATGTCAAAATGGGCGTTTTTGGTGTTTTGTGATAGATTGTGTGATACCATTGTAACCTTGTAAATTTCAATCCGATATCTCAAACCGTTCAGAAGTTATTTAGGTGTCCCGATACTTTTTCCTCACTCTGTACATTTATATACATATATACATATATACATATATAGTAAATTTTTTATAATATGGACTAAGTTTCAAGTACAAAGTTCTATCTTCTACTCTTCATAATAAACTACTAGTAAGTCAATCAGTGATAAGTCAGAGTCCGACGAGTTTAGCAGTGAATGATTGACTTCTTAAATATCACAATTAAGTTCTCATCAAGTTCTTCTTGTATCTCTTTTTCTTCTCGAAATACAAATCGGACATAATCACATAATGGACTTGTCTAAAAAATTTCATTACTATTGGACGGAAATGGCAGGTGAGTATCATTAATACCAATGAATAATTGGACTTTCTGCATTTCTAAATGTTCAAATTCATAGAAATATTATTCAGAGAGTGATTTATTAATTTAAGCAATTCATTCATTATCCTGCATAAAACAAAGAAAATAAACAAAATAAGTAAAAAAAGAAAAGTGTCTTAGTACGCATTTTTCAAGAACAATATTTTTGAAAAAACTTGAACATATATTTTCAGATCCACGAACAAATGATTGGACTCTGATTAATTCGATATACGAAATTCCATTTATATTAATGACATATTTATTGGTCGTTCTATATTGGGGTCCTCGATTTATGAAGAATAAGCAGCCTTACTCTTTAAAAACATTAATAAAAATTTACAATTTTTGCCAAATCATAGCAAATGCTTGGTTAGTGCGAGAACATCTAGCTGCCGGGTGGATGAAAGATATACCGTTAACTTGCATGCCTGTTATTCTTATGAACCACGTTATTATAAGGTACGCAAATTTTTTACTTACACGTATATATAATAATATGCTTCTCAAAAACATATACCACGCAATAAGATGCATAGATATTTGAAATATGTAAGATATTCTACATGAGACATTCATAAAACATATTCTCAGAAAAGATAGAGCGATAGAGTATGTGTGTGTGTGTGTGTGTGTGTGTGTGTGTGTGTATATATATATATATATATATATATATATATACAACGAATTCTGTTAAAAATATGAATAATTAATAATTTCTTCAAAACGAAATACATTTCTTACACAAGTATAACATATAATATATTAATATTTGCAATTTGATTCTCAGCTTAGTCAAATTCTGTGGTGGGTTCTACTACTAAAAATAGCGGATTGCGGAGAAACGGTAATGTTTATGCTGAGAAAGAAAGATAAACAGATTTCGTTCTTACATGTATATCATCACGTATCGAGTATAACGCTTGTTTGGTTAGCAGTAAAGTACCACGCTGGAGAAATGACCACGTTCGTCACGATTATTAATTGTAGCGTGCATGTATTGATGTATATCTATTATTTCCTCGCAGCATTTGGACCGCGCGTTCAAACGATTATTAAGCCGATTAAACCTTACATCACTATTCTTCAAATGGCAAGTATTACTATTATAATCTTTTATATTAAAAATTAATAATTATATTCTTAATTACAAAACTTATTTCTAAAAGATTTTTTCAAATATCAGCATATTTAAAAGATTAGAATAATTAAAAGATTATTTGAAACATTAGTAAACAGAGAAGATAAAAGAAAAAAATAAAAAAAAATAAAAAAGAGAATATTACTTATTACTCTAACAACTTTTATGTTTATATTGTACAAAATTTTTTTTATTCAATTTGAAAAAAATTAAAATAAGTTTTAATCAATTTTATGTTGATTTGTTTGTTATATAAATAGGTGCAGTTCTTTGTTGTTATACTCTACGCGATGCAAACTTTAATGCCAAGCTGTCATGTATCAAGTGGTTTCGGCATTATGTTTTTACTAAATGTGCTAATAAATTGGTTCATGTTTTATCAATTTTATCAACAATCGTACGTTTCACCAAAAGTGAAACAATAAAACAGAGAAAGGAGAAGATAATTACTAAAGAATATACATATATGTATAAAAGGATATTACTATTATAAAAATATATGATAAAAAAACGTAATAATAATTTATTTATCAAACTTCTGTGTGCATCTTAAATATCTATGTGGAAATAATTGTGTAAAATACATTATAAATAATTATTCTATAAATATTGTGTTATCAGACATACTTATTATTGTACAAATAATATTTATTGTATTTATATATTTATGTTTTTTATTAGCTTTTGTTTTTTATTAGTTTTTTATTATCTTTTTCCATTAACTGTTAAAAACCATAGAAATAAGTTATTTATTATATATAAATATAGATAAATATAGTAACATTTTTATTGGCAATATAATAAAATTTATTGTTTAATTCTGAATTTAAATGTTTAAAAAATAAAATTCAAATCTGACAAGCATCTTATACACAGAGGAAAAATGAATTCCTGTCCTATATTCGCAATTGAATCAACATGATGTAATAAATATGTACATAAAATAATAAAGATATAACATGTGTGTGTGTCTGTGTATGTGTGTTTAACAAGCAACAAAAAATTTTATAAAAATGTTAATATCTGCGATTCAATCGATAATTAAAATGCATTTCTTTTGATTTTCTTTTATATAATTGATAATAATTTATTTGAATAAAGAAGTATCACAAGTATGCTTATTATTTCACATCACATATTATGTAACATCCTTAGAAGTTAAATAATTTTATACAATCTAAGAAAAGAGAAATGCCACGAGTGTAAAAAGATAGGATATGTCTGCAGGGATTATTCTAAAAAGAATAAACTACAAATCAACTATTTATGAAAATTCAGTACCGATGAACAGATTTTGCAACATAAATATCTTACAGATTTAGCAACATAAGTATATTACAGATTTTGCAAACTAAATGTTCCGCTATTAGATTAATAAAGAACCTCGCACGTACCCTTATGGAAATTGAAATTCGGTTGAATCGTCTGAAACTTTCAGAAAAGTTAGTTCTTACCATGCTCATCAAAAGTCATAATGGGCATGAAATCCAGAAATGGCCAGGTTTTGAGATACGTTTGATTAAAAGTCGGAAAAATAGCTGTTTGAGACTAGATTGCTGTGTCGGAAAAATAGCTGTTTGAGACTAGATTGCTGTGTAGGTTACGCAAAACCAATAAAGTATGTGTGTATGTGTGTGTGCGTGTGTATGCTGTGTGTGTATGTGTGTAAGTGTGGTAGGTTATTAAGCTTCCAGGTCAACAATAACGTCACATACAATTATATACACAGACACACAGACACACACACAGACACACACACACACACACACACTTTATTGGTGTTGCGTAATCTACACAGCATCTAGTCTCAAAAAGCCATTTTTTCAACTTTTAACCATATGTATCTCAAATCCTGGCCATTTCTAGACTTCGTGCCCATTATGACTTTTGATCAGCATGATAAGAACTTTTCTGAAAGTTTGAGATGATTCGACCGAATCATCTCAAACTTTCAGAAAAGTCTTCTATTTCCATAAGGGTGTGTGCGGGGTCCTTTCATTGCAATTATTTTTAAAATTATATGTAAAAATAAATTCTAAAAATAAATAAATAATATATAAGTAATATGTTAGATCGCGATCTTATGTTCAACCAAATAAAAATTTTCCAATTAACAAAATATCACATATATAAATTATATTAATAGAGATTAAAATTAAACTTTATAGAGATCTATTTTAATTTACTGTTTATGTGTGTCACATTCTGGCAGTGTGTTCGGGACTGTGACAGAACATAGCGACGCAAGTCAAGAGGTCGTATCACAGGAAAATTACATTCTTGCATGAGAAACCAAGTGCAAAGTACGTGATAGTGAATGGTATAAATACAACAGAAGTGTGTTCTAGACAACCATCCGTACTACATGATGCGGATGATCGATTCTGATCGTTAAATCAATACGTTATTTTACGATATAAATTTAAAAACGATACTAGTTAAACTGTGAGATTTATCATAAAACAAAATTCAAGAAAAAAACATTTATTAATTCATAAGTAAAATTCAACAAATAAAATCAACCTTCATGGATTTTTTGCAAGAAATTCAATATAAATGGACAGAGAAGCTTGGTAAGAATATTGTTTATACTATTATAATAGTAACAATAGTTCTTTATTTAAATAAGACATTATAATACGTATTATACTATATTATACTATAACATAATTTGTTTCATATCATTGTATTATATTAAATATAGTGACTTGAAATTTTGCGATAATTAATATTCTCAATTATCAAAGAAAAATTCACTCACAGAAAAATTTCATAAAAATACTTTCAGCATTAAACATAAATTTTCTTACATAATAAAATAAAGGTGACATTTTATAATTCAAAATATATTTCTATTTTGTAAAACTTTCAAAGCAAGTAATTGATAATGATATGATAATGTGATAATAACAAATAAAATAAACATAATATTTTAACTATAAAACTATGTAATATATTAATGTCATATATAATGAAAATAATAATATATAAATAAATTAACAAATAATTTTGAGAATATAATGTCATTATTACAGTATGTCAGTTATATTCTGTGCACACTGAAATATACAGAGAAATGTAGAATTTAAATATTGATTAATTTGTGTAGTCTTTTTATGACCTGAATGCTTTCCATAATTGAAAATATTAATTTATTTTTTCAGATAAACGAGTAGCCGATTTTCCTTTAGTCGAGTCTTTTTATTACGTGCCACTTATAATATTCGCGTATCTATATTTTGTACTCAGGTGTGGGCCACGATTTATGAAGGACAGACAACCATATTCATTGAAAACGTTTATGAAGTTATATAATATCATTCAAATTATCGCAAACGCTTGGTTGGTTTATGATCACATCGATGCCGGTTTGTTCACGAACTCAAAATTAATATTCTATAACGGGAACATAATGGATTACTCCTACAATTATACTCCATTAAGGGTAATAAGTTACATATAATAAGTTACATATATAAAACACAGGAAACAGATATATATATATATATATATATATATATATATATATATATATATCGTAGACAAATATCTGTTTAAAAATCTTGAACGAAACTCAGTATGTATTTCTCCATAATATTTGCAATTTTGTGTCAAACTTTGTTAAGATAAAACAACTTTCGGCAATTATGTTTCCGGCTAAGTTTTATTTAAAAAATGATGCAAAAAAGAGTGAGTAAAAAAACTAACAAAATAGTTTTGGTGAGTGGTATACACACAGTATAAAGAGTGCTTGATAAAGGATCAATGCTTGTGAGCGAGTAAAGCGTAGTAAACTGAACAAATAAGTCCTTCATTAGTTTGCAATTTTTGTAATAATTATTGAAATATTAAATTTAAAAAATTGAAAAAAAATGAGCGCATATTACTCGTAGCTAGACTATGGAATGTGTGCTTCGGGCCAATAACGAGTATTGCACGGTAACGAAAGAACAAGAGTCGGAAAATGCACTGTCAAACTTTTCGTTGCAATGTAACATTTGACAGGTCTAGAAAATACATCCTACAACTTAGGCGCACGAAACGCATACCAATTCGCTAGTCTTTTTTAATTAATATTTCAATAATTATTGTAAAAATTGCAAAATGGCAAAGGAATTTTTTGTTGAGTTTACTCTATGTTCATGAACGTTGATCCAATCTTTATCAACAACCTATATATGAAAAGTTCCGGAACGGCCAATTATCTTAGAAAATATTATAAAATATATACTTAAGTTTCGGGTAATTTTAAAAATTCTTATCAAGAACAACATAAAAGTTTTAAATGGAAACTTTTGTTTTTTATTAGATATTTTTGTAGCTTATATTGAGAGTTCCTCAATAGGGCTTTTGATGGAACTTTTCAAAAAATTTCAATATTTGACTTCTTTAATATTCAACATTTAAATAAATATCGTCAGCTAATAGATTTTCGAATCTTACGATTTTTGCCTGAAATATTTGTCCATTAATAAATTTCTGTGATAATTAACCGTTTCGAAAATTTTGATACGAACTGTACATCGAAGTATTCTTATGTTAACAATCGAATAATATATATATCAACGAAATATAATAATTACTATATATCGCTTACCATACTCATACATATTCGTTTCGTACAATAATAATAAAACAAAAATAATAAAACAAATAAAATAATAAAACAAATTAATTAATATATCTGAATATTATATTGCAGTTATGTAGATGTGTATGGTTTTATTTTATGTTGAAAATCTTGGATTATGTCGAAACATGTGTGTTCATATTAAGGAAGAAAAATAAGCAAGTGTCTGGTTTGCATTTATATCATCATGTATCCACCTTGCTTATTACATGGTTAGGCTTAAGATATTTTGCTGTTGGTCCCGCCGTAATAAATAGCCTCGTCAACAGTTTCATACATACGATAATGTACACTTACTACTTCCTAGCAACTTGGGGACCGGAAGTTCAAGAAGCTATAGCACCTATGAAACAATGGATAACTAAAGCACAAATGGTAAACGCTTCTAATTTTTTTGTGCGTTTTTTTATATAGCGTAGTGTGTATTATTTCTATTCTCTTTAAATTATCTTATTAACACTTCACGTTTAATTAATAGTATTTATGAATCTCAAAAATTTCTCTTATATTTGCGATTTTATTGTTTTCAAAAATTCATTAAAACATCTAATTATATTTTATGGTGTTCTTTTTTACATTACAGGTCCAATTCGTCATATTAATACTGTATGTTTCGCAGAACTTTTTGCCAAATTGCAAGGTCATCGACCATTGGATTGTCATACTATTCATCGGAAATTTATTGTTTAATTTCTATATGTTTTATGATTTCTATCAAAAGGCATACAATAAACCTAAAAGAAAGACCAAATAGATTGTAAAATATATGTAATATATGTAAAAATTCAAATAATATTGTAATATATTCAAAAATTGTTTTTATACAGCCAAATGTTCATATTATAAACTCATAGGAATCAAAAAACATTCTATTTTTCGCTCGCTTTATTACTTTAATGTCATATGCTAAATGTAAATAATGGGAGAAGCAACATAGAAAAGTCCTTCATTCTATCATTATTACATTTAGTTAATTTAGAATCTGAACAAATTTATAATATGAACATTTAATTGTATGAATATATAGAGAATTTTAAATTATTATTTTTACATTTATAAATATATAAAATACAAATATAAAAACAAAAATTTGTAAATAATTTGTAAATAATTAATAAATAATATATAAATAATCATTAATGTTTCTCATATGAATGATGTGCGTGATTGTCCTAATTATCCGTTTTATATACATTATGCAACTTTTTTTATTAAATATTCTGCATTATAATTATTATCTCTCATACATTTTTGAATTATTTATTATATGTCTAGCTATTTTCTATGTTTGATATAGAAGACTATTTCTCTGTAACTGTATATTTAATAATAAGATAAATATTGTTTTGAATAAATATTAATATTATGAATTTATTTGATGTTATCTTATTATTTGATGTTTATTTGATATTACCTGTCTAGTCAGTAATCTGTGTGACAAATTTAAGCGTTGTGATAGTTTTAGAATTATATCATTACAATAAAAGTTTTCCTCATAATAAACGTAAGGCGTGTTTAAAGTGAAAAAACTCAGGATAATAGCCAATCAAGATGTTATCGTAATGTAAAATAATCCACATTTCTTATTATTTTATTAAACACATTAACACTTTCCAAAACAAGATAAAACAATTAACCACAGGAAGATAATGAAAGAAAAAACAAAAGCAAGATTTCTTATTTAGATGGAATATAATCAAAGGTAATTTAATAGTTAGATAAAATTCTGCAAGAGAGTTGAAATTACTTTTTATATTCAAAGTAATAACGTTTTCATTCAGATAATTCAATAAAATTGCATATGAAATATTAATGTCAATAATTTTTAATATTAATTTGCATAATGCATTATTGAAATCTTAATCTATTTCCAAATCCCCTTCGTATATAATAAATTCAGTTATATAATTAATATTTTTGATATACAGTTTTGTTACAAAAAATCGCGCATATGCATATTTAATGTCATTATAATACAATTTCGTTAATTCTTTTATTCCGTTACTTCTTATTCGATTCATTAAGTTTGTTTAGCTCTTCTTGTTTTTTTATAAATTATAGCTATATTATATTGGAAGTTCTTATTCAATATTATTACTCCAATTTAATAATATTTATTACATTTTTGTTTTCTGAAAAATATGTATTTTTAACAGAAAATCTGTTTTGACAATTTCTCTTTTTTTTCTTTTTTTTCAGGAACACATATACATTTGGATACATATACAAATTTTTTATAATATGGACTAAGTTTCAAATACAAAGTTCTATCTTCTACTACTCTTCAGAATAAACTATTATTAAGTCAATCAGAAAGTGATAAGACAGAATCTGACGAGGTTAGCAATGAATGATTGACTTCTTAAATATCATCATAATCAAGTTCTTTTGTATCTCTTTTTTTCTCGAAATACAAAGCGGATATAATCACATAATGGACTTGTCTAAAAATATTTCATTACTATTGGACGGAAATGGCTGGTGAGTAGAATTAATAGCAATGATGAATAATTGGACGTTTTCTGCTTTTTTAAATGTTAAGATTGATAGAAATATTATTTAAAGAATGATTTACTAATTTAAGCAGTTTATTCATAATCCTGCGTAAACGAAGAATATAAATAAAATAAGTAAAAAAGAGAAAAATCTTAGTGCGTACTTTTCAAGAACAATATTTTTTAAAAAACTTGAACATTTGTTTTTAGATCCACGAACAAATGATTGGACTCTAATCAATTCGATATACGAAATTCCATTTATATTAATACATATTTATTATATATTTAATAGTCTTCCTATTAGGGTCCTCGATTTATGAAGAATAAGCGTCCTTACTCTTTAAAAACATTAATAAAAATTTACAATTTTTGCCAAATCATAGCAAATGTTTGGCTAGAGCGAGAACATTTAGCTGCCGGGTGGATGAAGGATTTACCGTTAACTTGCATGCCTGTTACTTATTCTTATGAACCACGTTATTATAAGGTACGCAAATTTTTTATTTACACGTATATATAATAACATGCTTCTCAAAAACATATATCACGCAATAAGATGCATAGATATTTGAAATATGTAAGATATTCTACATAAGACATTCAGAAAACATATTCTCAGAAAAGATAGAGCGATATAGTATCTACACACACACACAAACACACACACACACATGTATGTATGTATGTATGTGTATATATATATATATATATATATATATATATATATATACACACAACGAATTGTGTTAAAAATATGAATAATTAATAATTTCTTCAAAATGTACGAATCACATTTCTTATACAAGTATAACATATAATATATTAATATTTGCAATTTGATTCTCAGCTTAATCAAATTCTGTGGTGGGTTCTACTACTAAAAGTAGCGGATTGCGGAGAAACGGTAATGTTTATGCTGAGAAAGAAAGATAAACAGATTTCGTTCTTACATGTATATCATCACGTATCGAGTATAACGCTTACTTGGTTAAGAGTAAAGTACCAAGCTGGAGAAATGGCCACGTTCGTCACGATTATTAATTGTAGCGTGCATGTATTGATGTATTGTATATCTATTATTTCCTCGCAGCATTTGGACCGCGTGTCCAAACGATTATTAAGCCGATTAAATCTTACATCACTATTCTTCAAATGGCAAGTATTACTATTATAATCTTTCATATTGAAAATTAATTAATTATATTCTCAAAAAATTACAAAACTTATTTCTAAAAGACTTTTTCAAATATCAGCATATTTAAAAGATTAGAATAATTAAAAGATTATTTGAAACATTAGTAAACAGAGAAGATAAAGGAAAAAGATAAAAAAAAAGAAAATATTACTTTATGTAACATATTACTGTAACAACTTTTATTATTAATATTTTGTTATCATACTTATTATTGTACAAATAATATTTATTGTATTTATATATTTATGTTTTTTATTAGCATCTTTTACCTTTAACTGTTAAAAACCATAGAAATAAGTTATTTATATATAAATTTAGTTATATATAAATATAGATAAACATAGTAACATTTATTGGCAATGTAATAAAATTTATTGTTTAGTTCTGAATTTAAATGTTTAAAAAATAAAATTCAAATCTGACAAGCATCAAATCTTACACACAGAGGAAAAATGAATTCCTGTTCTATATTCGCATTCCAATTGAATCAACATGATGTAATAAATATGTACATAAAATATAAAGATATAACATGTGTGTATGTGTGTCTGTGTATGTGTGTTTGACAAGCAACAAAAAATTTTATAAAAATGTTAATATCTGCGATAATTAAAATGCATTTCTTTTGAGTTTCTTTTATATAATTGATAATAATTTAATTGAATAAAGAAGCGTCACAAGTATGCTTATTATTTTACATCACATACAACATGTAACATCCTTAAAAGTTAAATAATTTTATACAGTCTAGAAAAAGAGATATGCCACGAGTTTAAAGAGGTGGGACATGTCTTCAGGGATTATTCTATAAACTGCAAATCAACTATTGAATCAACTATTTATGAAAATTCAGTATCGATGAACAGATTTTGCAACATAAGTATCTTACAGATTTAGCAACATAAGTATATTTCAGATTTTGCAACTTAAATGTTCCGCTATTAGATTAATAAATTTTTTAATCAGGTTTTTTTAATCATTTACTAGAACTCGTTTATATGTCATTTTTTAAACTGCAATAAATTCTATTTAAAAAATTTTTTAAATGTATTAGATTCGCATACGGCTTTTGTATCTCATGTAGAGACTGTTATATCGTCTCTACATATTGTACTTCCATGTCTATTGTTCCATGTCTTCGCCAACCAACGCAAGCCAACTAAGGCACGACAGTCAACGTGATGTCTGACGGCGGCGACAATGTGACGGCGCGTTTAACATAACACGTTGTTATAGTTTAGTTTCCAGCATAGAAACGAGGAAACTGAAAGCGTCCTTTTCCCCACCCTACCAATCGATTAATAAAACTCGGCTGATGTTTGCGTAAAGAATAGTCAAAAGCGCGCATTTTCGTATAACTCATTATAATCACATCCCGACATGCTTATTTCAGATAATACGCTGGTTATTCTGTTATTCATAAAAAGAATGTGTCATTTGCGTTACTTAATCTGATATTGTTTGGAAAAAAAGTTATTCGGCTCGCAATAAACTAAGATATTTCGCTCAGACGATAGAAATAATCGAGTCGTTTCTTGTGCAATGCAAGATTACAACGATGATGAGATTCGTTATTACGAAGTAAAGTCTTTTGTCTTCTCATTATATAGTTTTCCACGAGAAGAAAGAGACCCCATAATCTTTTTGTATCTGGCATAGCAGAAACTTCATTCCCTTTAAGCCTCTCTTTAGTTGTCAAAAGAAATTGTACGTGACGTTAAACCTTGTCGTCAATTGCAGGATATTCCGCTAAGAAGATAAATATCCCAAGTTATGTAACAACAAAGTATATCCGATTTAATAAATAAATATTGCCACAGATTTCTCTCTTCTCCCTCTCATTATTATTATCTTGTATAAATATTATTACTAAAATTTCGCTTCTAACTGATTCCAATCAATCTAATCTATTCAATTGAAATATACATTTTCCGTCCAGTAGCAAATTATATAAAGTTGTTGGATTGAAAAATGTGGAAAGATTTGTGTTCTGTTAAATATGATTCATATATAGATATATCATAGATATATCATAAATATCATAAAAAATTTTAATAACAAATAGCAATGCCTTGTGTAATTTTTAAAAAAGAGATGCTAGAATATGGATAATCACGTACTGTCTCTCGCATCTTGATGCTCTACTTTGTTCCTGGCACATGCATGCGCAAACTTGAACGTATCATCGGAGATCCATCGATAGATCACGTCCGTGAGATAAGAAACGATTGGTAGCGTATTGAGGACAAAGAAAAAGAGAGAGAGAAAAAGAGAAAGAGAGAGATAGCGAGAAAGAGAAAAAAAGGACGAAAAAATCGAGAAGAGATCGAGAAGATTTATCTCCTCATCGAAAGCTTTGGAAAGATTCATGAACCTTAATTTTAACGTTAATAAAAAAGACAAAAATAACTTTCTCAATAATAATTGTAAAATAAAAACATTTATTATAAATATTAGTAAAAATATCATAACAATATAAAATTAAGAATATTCAGTGTATATTGTGTACAAGCAATAAGAATGATTGTACTAAAAGCAAGTAAGTAGAAAAACATAAACAAATATCCTATCTTAAACAAATATGATAAGAGATACAGATGACAAGTATGACAAATGATTGCAAAACGTATGAGAGACGGAAGTGAATACTTTGCTATGACATCTTAATAAAATATTTATAATTTACCGTATTTCCGTGCGAAAATAATTATTTTTTTCCCGAGAAAAATCACATTTTGTCGTTAATGTTATGTTGTTTTGCGGACTCTTAAAGTTTTCTTTAACATCGTGATGTAAAGATACATGTATATAGATTTATATATAGGTATACAAGAGAGAGTATGACCGAGCAAAACTCGCAAAAATTCATCTTTTAGCTATACTGTAAAAAATATAAAAAGAGAGAACTATATAAACCGATACAAATATATAACCCGAAACAAATATTTTGACATCAGTGTAATCGGTTCGCGTAATATCTAAATTTAACTCATCATTTTTGTCATTGGAAATCGCAAATTGTTTAGATGCAGATAAATATGTTCTTCTTATGCGTTCCAAAAACTGTAATTTTTTAAGTTTAAAATAATAAAATAATCTATAATCTATATTTTTTCAAAAAATAGAAAAAACTTGCGAGAATTATGATAAAAATACATTCTAAAATATTATCTCAATTTAAATAATTCGTATTTAAATTATTGGTAATTTAAGATTCTGATATTTTAATATTTTATAATCAGAGATATATATTTGTTTGTGTTTATTAATATATGATCATTGGATCATTGTTCATTGAATTTATTAAAATTTTTTATAAATGAATTTATATATTAATAAACACGGACAAATTTATATAGAAATATGGGAATTTATATAAAAGTACATTAAAATCCATAAGTTTTCGAAGTTATATAGATTATATCGAAAATTCGATACAGTTTAAATTAAATCTAATCAAGCAAAGAGTAAAACTCACATACAAAAAAACCATAGAATTAAAGAAAATAATATGATTTAAATAATGCAATCAAATCCAATCAAAAACTATAATATTACAAAATTTAATGGTATAGAGCACATATGTAAAATGTTCTTGATTGAAATTTTCTTCATGTGAAAATTTGTTTTAATTAGAAATTATCTCAATATACTTAAAGTTAGAATGTTTATTATCAATAATGAATTACAATTTTATTTAATTAATTTATAAATTAATATATAAATTAATTTATAAATTAACAACATAAGATGGCCGAAGTATAAAATGATTGTTAATAAAAAAACGTAAATATACAAAAACATTTATGATAATTAGTTATATATATATATATATATATATATATATACAGGGTGACCCATTTTAACTTAGGCAGCCAAATAACTCGAAAAATAAGCACACTACGAAAAAATGGTTAGAATCAAAATTTCGTCATTTCGAGGGGGACGTACAATGACGTTAAAATCAGCCCCCCCACCCCTCCACCTGAGCGGTGAGGGGGGGCAAGTTTGAAATCTTAAATGGAACCCCCTATTTTTCATTGCATATTCTTGTAGCTTATCTCGAGAGCTTTCCAAAACACTATAATTAAGTACCTTTTTATTAAGTACTTTTTGAGTTATAAGGCTTGAAATAATTTCTTAATTTTACATAAACCATAAAATATCTAGTAAACCATTCATTTTTCGATTATCTTACCTTCATACTTTTATGTACAAAATAATGAGAGGAATCCATTGGTGTAAAGAAAACACATAGTTGTTTCTAAGAAAAAATATATAATTTGCAATTAACAATTCCATATTTTTTCTTAAAAACAACTGTATGTTTTCTTTACACCAATTGATTCCTCTCATTATTTTGTACATAAAAGTATGAAGGTAAGATAATCGAAAAATAAATGGCTTACTAGATATTTTATGGTTTATGTAAAATTAAGAAATTATTTCAAGCCTTATAACTCAAAAAGTACTTAATAAAAAGGTACTTAATTATAGTGTTTTGGAAAGCTCTCGAGATAAGCTACAAGAATATGTAATGAAAAATAGGGGGTTCCATTTAAGATTTCAAACTTGCCCCCCCTCACCGCCCAGGGGGAGGGGTGGGGGGGCTGATTTTAACATCATTGTACGTCCCCCTCGAAATGACGAAATTTTGATTCTAACCATTTTTTCGTAGTGTGCTTATTTTTCGAGTTATTTGGCTGCCTAAGTTAAAATGGGTCACCCTGTATATAAAGCATAGAATGTAGCAGAATTTCTTATCAAAAATATTTTCATTTTACTTTTAAGCCAAAGGACATTTCACATCATAACAATATTGTTTCGAAATCAAAGGTTAGCCATATTCGTTACAGCCGTTTATACTCGTTTATAACCGTTGTAATGTACAATAGTGGTATTTTCATAATTTAACGCACTTTCAATATTATTACTGCAATAACACAAATAAAAAGAAACGCCGAAATACTAACGAAATGGTATCCAAGGTAAAGAAAAATTACATGTATGTAATAAGATAAGATTAACCATAAGATTCATTCTGTGATCAAAAAATCTAAAAAGATAGAAATATTATTCCTTTAACAGTAATAATGTTGTATTGTATAGATATGCGTGTATGTGTATTTTAGCTCCCCTTCAAGATAGAAAATGATATATTGATTGGGGAAGAAGATCTAATCGATGATAGTTGCATCAATACCGGAGAATTGATTTTAAACGCATTTAAATCCAGACCGGACTTCATTGGTCAAGTATGGCACATAATAATAATTAACATTATTTTTTTTTAATATGTGAAGAAAAAAGATTTATTAATTATCAAAATTACATAATTCTAATAATGCATTACATTATTTCATTGCACTAAGATTGATATGTGTGATAGGTGGATGCAATGACGGGAGAAGAAAATACATTCCAGCAAATGAGAGAACGGAGCGTAAAATGTGCATTATGGCTGAAAAAATTAGGTGTTCAACACAATGACATTATAATAGTGTATACTTCTAATCATTTGGATACTTACATACCTTTTTTAGCGACTCTATATATCGGCGTTGTTTTGTATATATGTAATATAAATAAGCCGAGTAAGTTATTTTTTTTTTCTAAATTTCTGTTTTAATTGTTTTTATGATACATATGCATAGATAGGCCGGTTGGTATACTTAATTGTTAATATTTTTAGTAAATTTACTATGCCATTTGCAAGCTCATCCAAAAGTAATTTTTGCCGATGTTGACAAAGCTTCGTCAATCCTCAAATTGACAAAAGCAATGAACATTTCTACGACAATTGTAGTTTTTATAAGAGAAAACAAAGAGAGTGAGCATAAAATGGAAGAGAAGTTTCAATCTTTAAAATTTATTTTAAATAGTAATTTTAATAAAACCGAAATCAATGAATTTTCTTGTACAAAATTGAAGAGTAGTAAAGACACCGCAGTGATACTACTTTCTTCTGGTTCAACTAATGTGATTCGACAACATGTGACAATTCCGCATGCGTTCTTCACAGCACCCTCGAATCAGCAGATACCTGCTATGGAATCTAATGATGTTGGCCTATGGATCGAATCTTTGCATTGGAATATCAGTTTGCTTTTGACAGTTCGCGCTATTTTTTCATACGTGAAAGCAATCAAAATAAATATATTTTTAAACCCTAAAGACAATTTAATTTCAGACTCAGATGTTAAATATCTTTGTAGTGCTATACAAAAATATAAGGTAACGTAAGAAATAGTTTTAATCTCTTGTTGAAAGTGTATAAATTATAAAAAATTTTTACACTTTTATTTTTCAGGTAAATTGGGTATTTCTGAAAAATGATATGAGTAGAGGGTTCATTAATTTCAAAATTTTCGAGAAATACGACGTCTCTTCCTTGAAACAAATAATAATCGGTGGCAGACAACTTTGTACAGAAGTTTACTTACGTTTTACTTTTGCGCTGCCAAACACTTCTTTTAGTAAAGTATATTGTATGTATACTTATACGAATGTAATGAAGGACCACACACACACACACACACACACACACACACACACACACATACACACACACACATACACACACACACACACACAACAATAGTGAAGAAACGCTTGTAATCTTAATATTATTGATAATAGTATTGTTCTTATATTGTTTGAGGTTTGCCTGAAGTAGGTGTGATCACCTATCAACCAAAGACTAGAAAATTTGGAGATAGCGGTCATGTGAGTAAAAATGTTTCTTTGTTGATTGCTGATCCTATTACTAATTCTCCGTTGAAAGTACAAAAAATAGGTGTTATCTGCTGCAAATCTCCATCTTTAACAAACGGCTACTTAACTTCTATGCGCGGAACTTTAGAGAGTGTTACCGATGATAAAGGTTAGTTATAATTTTATTTAATTGATTTTATTACTATAATATAGAAGGTGGTTAAAATAATACAAATAATACAAATAAAAAAATCATCATCATATAAACATATACATGTAAACATAGAAAATCGCCTACATTAATTACGGATGTTATAAAGTGTATTGAAATCATCGGGCTGTCTTTTTTCTTGTAGATTACATATATTTTTATGCAATTTTCTATCATTGATAAAATTCTAAATAAAATAAAAACAAATAAATGTTTTGTTTCTGTTAAAACTTTTATGTAAATTATACTTCTAAAATATTACGTATTTCTCAGGATGGTTCCATACTGATGATATGGGCTTCTATGATTCAGATGGTAATATCCACATTCTTGAACGTCGTAGAAATGTTATAACATACCAAAATCATACTATTTTACCAATATCTATCGAGCATATATTAAAAATGCATCCGAAGGTAAAAGACGCTTGTGTAATACCTATATATGATAGGATTGATGGTCATCATCCATTTGCAGTCGTTGCACAAAAGGAAGATTCAGAGGTCCGAAAATGAAAACTGATTATTTTTCTTCAAATTAAATATATTGATCATTAATTGATTTATACTATTAATGATATTATAGTAAAAAATCTATGTGAACAAATTTAAATTTGTTGTATTTCAGATAACGAAGGAGGAGTTAATAAAATTTGTAGCAAGTAAAGTATTCAAGCTTCGTGCGGAGTGCGTCATGATCGAAGATTTTCCATATCTTCCCAATGGATATCCGAATCGAAGAGCTATTTCTATACTGGCAAAGGCTTATAAAAAAGTATATGACAAAAAAGTATATTGTGCTGAAAAGAAAACTGAATTCTGAAGAAACTTAATTGATTTATATTAAACAAGTTTTTCGAAAAAGTCAGATTTGAATTAGTGCTATAATTATTTTACTGTCGGTAGAAATAGATGTTTATCTAAATAACTTTACGTAAATCTGTAATATCGAATTACACAATATCACAAAACTTTAATATGCATTTAAAATGTACTCATATATGTAGTAACATGTATAATTTTTTATAACTTATGGTTTTTTATATATTTATATAAAATAATACATATATTTATATATTTTTTTATAAAAATATATATAATAAAATAAATATATAAAAATATATATAATTTTATTATAACCATAAGTTATAAAAAAATTATATATTTTATATATTTTTATAAAAAAATATATAAATATATATATTATTTTATATAAATATATAAAAAACCATAAGTTATAAAAAATTATACATGTTACTACATATACATTTTAAATGCATATTAAAGTTTTGTGATATTGTGTAATTCGATATTACAGATTTACGTAAAGTTATTTAGATAAACATCTATTTCTACCAACAGTAAAATAATATAAAATATAGAATGAAGCGGATGGTGAATAGTAGCATAGTGGAGCCTTATGAAAGAAGATTAACCTATCTTCTTTCATGACAGAATGTTTGTATACATATTTCAGAATAAGAACTTATATTTGAATTTTTATCTTATTTAATTAAAAAATTTTTTGAATATCGGCATTATTTTGTCTGTATGGCATTAAAATCGGCAGAGTAAATTAATCTTTCTAAATTTCCGTTTTGTTTATTTTTATGATATATGTGTGATTTTTATGATTTCATTTATACAGAATTTGTATTTCTGTTCTTTAAGTGACAAAAGAAGAGTTAATGCAATTTGTTGCGAAATATTCGCCTTGCGACTGCTTGCGCCTTTATGCAGACGTATTATTCGCCGAAAATTTTCCATTTCTTCAAAATAAACATTTTAATGTCAAAAAATTCATAAAATAGCAAGTCACTATTTCAATGCAACGAGAAATTACTTGATTATAGATTAATTCTTATTTTTTAAAGATCTATAGAAATATTTTTAAATATATATATAAACTAACATATATACATATAAACATATATACATATAAATGTCGAATTGTACAATATTGAATTAGCGAAATTTTGTAAAATGTGTATTATATTATAAAAAAACATGATGCATTTTTTATTAAAGGCTTTGAGTAAAATATATATTTTATATTGTAAATATATATTTAGTAATAAATAATTTTTTATACTGCAAACTTATAAAATCTATTTTGTATATATTTAGAATATACATATATGTATATGTATGTGTGTTGTGTGTGCGCATATGTTTTTTATAAATATAAATTGAGAGTGATGAATAAAATGTAGGATAAAAAAACAAACATATGAAGATTAAATCCATGTGTCAGCATTTTCAGCAAAATTTATCTAATCATCTGCAATCTGTAAAAGATAATTCTAGTTACAAATGAGTATTCACATGTAAAGTAAACACGCAAATTATATTGAAAAAACCATTAATTGTTTTTTATAAAATTTTTATTTTTCTTTCGTTCCTGTCGATATTTCAACATTCGATTTTATTTCTATAGACAAATAGTTTTGTACGCATTTGATTCCGTAATATCATAGTTTCTTACTAAAATTAATTGTTTTATTTAAAACGTTTTGGTTTTTTTAAATTTCTTTTCTTGCATTTTATTTCCTCTGCTTGATTAGAATAAATTTTGTTTAATTGTCACTTATTTAATTAAGATGAATGTTTGAAACTACATTTTGTACACATAATAATTTTAACAACCAGAAGTGTAATTCTTTAATTAATAATTCATCAGTCTATCTGCGCGACTCTATTTTCATTTAATTCTTTTCTTACATTTTTCGCAATATTATTGACATTCACTGTATTCGAAAAATATAAGTTAACAAATCATTAAAAATGGATGCTCCGCAAAAAACAATATTTTGAAGTTTTTCTTTTGCTTTGCTCTTTTGCTCTTAGGTATAAAATATTGCTTTCGATATACTTTCACGAAACAATAGAAGTGACGAAGAGTACTCGCAATAAGAAAATACTCGGATATGGTGAAGTAAAAATCTGAAACATTTTCGAATTTCTATTGAGCTAGTAAAATCAAATTAACAAAATTAAACTAGATCTATCAGATATAGTATTTAATTCGTATTAATTAAAATTAATATTAATAAAAATTTTGTCCTGTGCTATTTGGAAAAAAAAACTATGATGCTGTCACCTTAATATCAAGGTAGCAAGACCACAATAAAAATAAAGAAAAGAATAAAATCAAGAAAAATAGAGAAAAATAGAGAAAATGTAACAAACTGAATTTGTACTAATTTGTATCACCACCAAAAAACCTAATATTAAAAAAACCTAATACTTATCCTTTCTTCTTCAAACAACTTCCAATTAAATTCACCCTATCAGTTTCAAGAGTATTCTTTCTTATCAGCAGAATCAATTGCTACTTTTATATTCCACGACAATGATTCATTCCTTGATCTCTTCCGCGAGGCAAGAGGAACGTAGAAATGTAGCATAACGTCATCAGCCAGCTGACTGGCGCTGATTTACGTCGCAAAAAAGTACGCTATTTTAAATAAAATATTAGATTTCCTATACATTAATGTCATTGTAATGTTATTTCTGATTTAATATTTTTGATTAATTGTGTGTGTGATAAATCGCACGCATAAATTCTTAGTATATTCAGTATAGTAAATTCTTAATATAATTGATTCAGCGTATTTCCTGGTGGCGATCGATAATTACATTGATAAATCAGCGCCAGTCAGCTGATGATGCCACGACTATATTTCTATGCGAGAAGACCCAAGGAACGAATCATTATCGCGTGTGTATTCGATGCGACATAATGTATACCATTAAAATATAATATAAAGTTCCAGATTTTGTACCTCAGCTGATACTTCTAAAATGACCCCCAACTTTTATCAGTCTCCTCCCATCCAGTTTCAAGAGTAAAGTATTCTTTTCTATCAGAAGGATCAATCGCTACTTATGTAATTGAGACAGCATAATTTGTATCATCAAAATATAAAGTTTCAGATTTTTGTACTCCCGCCGGTTCTTTAGAAACTATCCTCGATCCCCAGTCTTAAGAGATATTAAATCAATACTTTCTATGATCATTAGCTCTTCCGAAAATTTTGATACGCATTGTATATCAAAATATTCCGATTTTAACAATCGAATGAATATGTATGTTGTAATACCATAATTGTTGTAATACCATAATTACGCTATTTATCGCATATTCATACATATTCGTACAATATAATTTAATAATATAACAATGTTTCGTACAATAATAATATAACAACGCGAATTAATTAATATATCTGAATATTATATTGCAGTTAGGTTATGTAAATGTGCATGGAATTTTATGTTAAAAATCCTGGATTATATTAAAACAGATGTATTCATATTGTGGATGAAAAATAAACAAGTATCGGGTTTGAATTTATATCATTATATATTCACATTTATTTTATGATTAGACGTAAGATATATTTTGCTGTTGCTCCTGCAGTGTTAAACAACTTGATTAACAGTTTCACACATGTGATAATGTACATCTACTACTTCCTAGCAGCATGGAGAATGGAAGTTGAAAAAACTGTAGCATCTATGAAACAGTGGATAAAACATAAATAGTAAATGCTTTCAATTTTTCTGCACATTTTTTATATGACAAAGTGTGTTCATTTCTCTTAAATTACTTTATTAATGTTTCATGTTTGATTAATATTACTTATAAAACTCAAAAATTTCTCCTATATTTGTGATTTTACATCAGCTTTTAATATTTATATTTTATTATGTATATTTTATATCAGCTTTTAATAAAAAAAATAATTTACTTTTAATAAAATTCAAATCAAAACATCAGCCATGAAAAATCTAATTATATTTTATGATGTTTCTTTTGAAAATACAGATCCAATTCGTCCTATTAGCGCTATATCGCAAAACTTTCTGCCAGATTGCAAGGTCATGGAACATTGTATTGTTATATTATTTAGTTATATTTTTCGGAAATTTAATGTTTAATTTTTATACGCTTTATAATTTCTATCAAAAGCCATAAACTTAAAAATAAACTTAAAAAGAGGACTTAATAGATTGTAAAATATATTTAAATTCAAAAAGCGTCAATTGTTGTTTCTATATAACTAAATATTCATATAAACTTATTGGGATTAAAAAATATTCTATTTTTCGTTCTTTTTCTCACAAATATTCTATTTTTCGTTATTTTCTCACTCTTTAATGTCATCAAATTTATAGTATGGACATTCAATTGTATGAATATATGGAGAATTTTGCACTAGCATTTTTAAATTTATAAATATATAAAATATGAAATTATTTTTTATTCAAAGTATAATGGCTTCATTTAGATAACCAAATTCAATGAAATTGTATATAAAATATTAATGTTAATAATTTTTAATAATTAATTTGCATAATGTATTATTGAAATCTTGATTTAAATATTCTTCTGCTTAATTATATAAATTCAATTAAATAATTAATAAATTATATAAATTCAATTATATAATTAATATCTTTGATGCATAACTTTACTATAAAAATTGCTTTGTTACACAAATTCATTATCGCAGTACAATTTTGTTAATTCCTTGATTCCTCCCCCCCTCGTTGTTCCTTCTGTTAATTATTAAATTATTTCATTAATCCTTATTCCGTTCATTAAGTTTGTTTAATTTTTATTGTATCTTTTTTCTTTTTTTACAAAATATTGTGATATATATTGGGAGTTTTTAATCAATATTATTGTTCCAATTTATATTAATATTTATGTATTTCCGATTTATAATAATATTTATAATAATGTTTGTATTTCCAATTTATAATAATATTTATTACATTTTTATTTCATTCTGAAGATCTGTATATTTAACGTGTGTGAATTAGGCACTCGACTTTTAAAAAAACAAGTTTAATACAAACATTCGATTAAGCATCGTATGTACCGTTTGTATTCTTTCTGTTTCGTTTGTGCCTCAAATGAATGGAAGTTATAAGGGGTTTTAATCCCTAAAATCATCCCATTTTAAAATACAGCAATTTTCAAAATGCTATTCGATCAAGCATTGTTTGCATGCGTTTGTACCGCTTTTCTTTTGTACTCTTACGGGGATGGAAAGATCGAAAATTGAAGAATTGCATAAGAAATAACTGTCATTTTTAAAGATATTCGAAATCTGAAGGCGCGTGCTGTTTCGTAATCGTTTGTACCTGTTTGTACCATCTTTCATTCCGTTTGTACTCCCACAGAAGTGAAAATATGGTACAAATAGATATAAACAACGATGCTTAATCGAATGCTCGTATTGAAAGTTTTTAAAAATTTTTTAAAAGTCGGGTGCCCAATTCACACACGTATATTTCATTTTAACTCCACTTGATTTATTTTTTCCAAAAAATGCACATATATTTGCATACATATGTAAATTTCATGTAATATGGATTAAGTTTCGAGTACAAAGTTTTATCTTCTACTAGTTTCTCTTTATAATTTCTCTTTATAATAAATTAATAGTAATAAGTCAATCAGACAGTAATACATCAAAGTCAAACGAGGTTAGCAGTGAATTTGACTTTTTAAATATCACCACAATTAAGTTGTCATCAAGTTTTTTTAAAGTTTCTTTTTTTCTCGAAAGCAGACATAATCTCATAATGGACTCGTCTAAAATATTTCGTTACTATTGGACGAAAATGGCTGATGAGTAAAATTAATAGCAATGATGAATAATTGGACGTTTTCTGCTTTTTTAAATGTTAAGATTGATAGAAATATTATTCAAAGAGTGATTTACTAATTTAAGCAGTTTATTCATTATCCTGCGTAAAACAAAAAATATAAATAAAATAAGTAAAAAAGAGAAAAGTCTTAGTGCGCACTTTTCAATATTTTTGAAAAAACTTGAACATATATTTTCAGATCCACGAACAAATGATTGAACTCTAATCAGTTCGATATACGAAATTCCATTTATATTAATTATATACTTATTGGTTGTCCTATATTGGGGTCCTCGATTTATGAAGAATAGGCGGCCTTATTCTTTGCAAACATTTGTAAAGATTTACAATTTTTGCCGAATCATAGCAAACGTTTGGCTAGTGCGAGAACATTTCACCGAAAATGAAACAATAAGACAACAAAAATACAAGATAATATATATATATTCTTCAAAAATTATCTTGTCTTTTTTCTGTTTTATTGTTTCATTTTTGATAAAACGTATAAAAAGTTATGAAAATGTTGAATGTTTTTTGCATGCTACATTTTATTTATCATCTTATGACTTTATAACGGAAATATCTCATTATCCAAACTACATGTGTGAATACCGCATATCAATTAAAGAGAAATGAAAGTCATAACAAGCGAGGTAAGGAATCGATTGTACATATTTGATTTGTAAAATCATAAGATGATAAAGAAAATGTTGTAGTACGAAAAAAAATCCAACATTTTCATAACTTTTTAATACGTTATGTATTTTAATAAAAGAATAAAAATATAATTATTCAAAAGTATGCGACTCTTTGACTGAAACATAAGATTCAATACGTTCAACTGAAATATAAACATACATAGGTCGTTGTTTTATAAAAATCTCACACTTTATGTTTCATTTAAACATACTATGTATTATTCCTCGAGGAGGAATATGAGAAAATTATATGAGAAATTTTTTATTACGTTATTAAGATGAATGTATAAAATTAAGTTTTGTATACACGATAATTTTGGCAATGCAAAGAAATATACTTCAAAGAAATATACCACAAAGAAATATAATTCTTCAATTCATAATTAATCAACTAATATTTTGCAATTTGTCAAATCATACAAATTATGAGAAAATAAACAATCCTATGACTTCAATCAAATTTCCATTTCTTTCAAATATCAATTAAATCAGCTTATCCGCGACTTCTATTTAATTTATTTCGTTCCTTCCATTTTTCGCAATATTTAATGTATTTGAAAAATAAGTTGATAAGCCATTAAAAATGCATTCTCCATATTACATGAAACAATATTTTAAAGTTTTTCTTCCGCCTTGGCTCTTAGGCCAGTATAAAATATTGCCTGCGACTCGTAATTTCGAACTTTTGCGAAACAATAGGAATGCGAAGAGATACTCGCAACGAGAAAGTACTCGGACACGGTGAAATAAAAGTTTGAAATAATTTCGACGTCGAAAAATTAGGAAAATTGAAAGCTCACGAACGCTTTGTGGATATAAAAATCTCACTCCAGATGACGGAAGAATAATTTCTTTTATAGAAAGAAGTAAATCTTGTAGTAGAATAATATGTAACGATAAAAAGAGAAACTTTAAATATAAGATATACTAAACCGAACGAACGAAAGAACGAATGAAAATATTCTTTTTTTCTCTTAGAAACGCGACGTATATTTCTTCCTAGTGTATTCTAAATTAATAAATCATTTAAGAACATTATATAATAAAACAAAAGTAAAAAAAAATTACTTATTCCAAAAGAAATTATTTGTGATTTTTTTATGATCGAAATTTTTTCATTTTTCCAAATGAGAGGAAAGAAAGAATATCAACAACGATCTGAACGAAGAAAGGAAAATATGTGGAAAGTCTATATGCTTCTGTAAACGTCGGCGAAACAGAATTCGACGCGAAAGACCACGTATAATCTCACGGTTGATTACGTAAGTTTACAAGTTCAATGGATATCGCGAGATTGCAATATCGCGAAAGTAGAGCATACCAATAGTGGTTCTCATCCTCAACATTGGCGTGTTTGTAGAAAAGAGAAAAAAAATAAAATTAATAGTTGGTAATAATGAAGGAAATTATCGTTATTTGAGAGATGTATCGGTAAAACTTGGCTATTAGACAGTTTCGAATTCTCTCCATCGAATGATTCTGTCAGTCGTTTTGGAAAATTTAATTCAGACTCATCCTCATCTATCCTCCGTTCTCTATCCAACCGAAAATCTCATTTCTGAATTTGTGGACCAGCAGAGAAATTTTCAGCACCCTTATTAACTTGATTCCTACTACGAAAAATCGGATGTATTACGTAATTAATTAACTTGTTGTTAAT